AGAATGTCAATGACTCCCTTAATGGAGAACGTCAATAACTCCCTTAATGGAGATTTTTAGTGTAGTCTGTAAAGCACTGGCACTGTCAAAATTATTTTAACACCAGTCTGGGCTGAATTTTCACGTTAAGTGAAAACCCCTGTTTTTGCTGCAGAGCGAAATGTAGGTTGACCTCATAGGTATGTTCGCTAACAATGTCATCAAAGAAGCAGAAGTCAGCGTTCTTACGGACTTTATGCCTTCTGTTTATACTAAGGTTGTTTTTCTTTAAGAAGCAAAGCAGGAATCACTTGGTTTGCCTATCTGATTCACTGTTCTTAGGCCAAAGGTATGAGATGTTGTCTGTTAAGATGATATTTTGGATGTGGACTGCGTCTTTCACAGAATGCCACATTTTCGGACTTCTTGACATTTCGATTGTCAAGTTGAATGTCGACAGGATCGTTCGGTGAAGTTTGGTTATAGAAGGCAGAATTCCAGCAATTTCGAAAAAAAACTGCAGGAATCAGGGTAGCCTCAAGGCAGATAGAGAGAGTTAGGTAAAAGATTGCTTATTTTTCCAGTTTGCTGTCAACACCATAATATATGTCTTAACATATCGTTGAACAAACTGCATATAGCTGTGTATTAAGGGTATGCACAATTGATATTTTGGGTTCGTCTGGTTGGTCAGGGTCATGATTTACTCCAACCTTTGCGCATCTCGTGTTCCAGCCGATACACGGCATACGTTGACGGGGAGGTGAGCGTGCAACATGGAGGAACAAGGTAGATGCAGATGTTCTCTAGGATAGAATACTTGTTTCTGCGATGCAGTAGCCGGTGACATATGCGAAAGTGTTGCAAAGCTGCCGATCAGCGTACGCTACATCCCGAAACGTGCTACTTATGCAAACAGCTCAAGGTGATGTTCTCAAGAAACACTGGGTGCGGCAGCAAAGTTCAAACTTCATCAACAGTGCAACTCTGGTCGGATTGAGCACTATATGTATATATAGTTGAAAGGAAGTAAACCATAAGCACAGTAACGGCGTGCTCAGTATATATCGCTATATCGCTAGTAAATACGACTCCATCTGTTCCACTGTCTATCCGTTAATCTGAAGAATGCAACGGTCAGGAGAACGAGAAAGCACTGGGCTTTAGGCTTTTCGCTTTTGATGCGTTCACTCGTATGCCAGGTATGTCGCACTCTGCAGCGAACCTTTCAGGGGAGCACTGAAGATCAGTTTCAGAAGATGCCAGTAAAACAAGGTCGTCTGAAGACAACAAGCTTCTCGTCTCTATATCCCCTACATCGATACACTCATCGCCTTTGCTGCGCCTGACTATTCTGTTAATGTATAAAAGAAACACGAGAGGTGACAGGACGCTGCTTTGGCGCAGACCAGTGCCAATTGTGAAAGGTCTTGGCTTAACGCATTCATTCTGACGCAGCGCATTGTATCAGAATATAACAATTGGATGTACCGTTGCAGCTTGCCATCGACCTCACATATTCGCAGGTACGCCCACAGATTGTTCCGCGGGATCCAGTCATAGCCTTTCTGTAGGTTCACAAAGCTCATACAAACCACATGGATGAACCCCCACGATTTTCCAACAGTCTGGCGTAGGGCGAATATCTAGTCTTATTCATATGATATATCGGCCGGGCCGGAAGCCACACTGCTCTTTTTATCTTGCAGTGAGTTTTCCCAAGCACCCCGGAGTAAGGCAATGCCCCGATAATTGGAGCACTCCCTGTGGTCTCCCTTCTTGAAAAGGGGTACTACAACTCCCGTTCTCCAGTCCGCTGATATCTTTCCTGTAGCCATTGCTGTTTGACAGACAGGTGTAAACCAGCACATGCCTTGTTCGCCTGTTGAGAACTTTAGGACGGATTTCATCAAGTACAGCAGCCTTTCCACTTTTCGAGCTTTTCACAGCTTGTGTGATTTCATCTGCTCCCTGCTTCTAAACAGGTGAGTCTCCTGCGATTGATTGAGGTTAAAGAGTTGGTTAGAGTACTCTTTCGATCGCCGAAAAATGTCCTCATCCTCGATAAAAGGATGTCCAGACCTGTCCTTCGAGACTTTTAGACTGCTCTTCTTTTCATCTTGGAGCCGACGAATGGTCTGCCAAAATATCTTGTTTGCTGTATTGAAATTTGACTTCAATACCCCACCGAACTTCTCCCAAGAATCAGCTTTGGCTTTCGCTACTGTTTTCGCTGCCGTCTTGCGTGCTTCGACATATCGCAGGCGAATAGAAGGCTCTTTGTTTCCAAGTCATTTCTTGAATGCAGCCTTCTTTTTAACGGCCAGTTGTACCTCTCGTGTCCACCAGGAAGTTCTCTTCTGACGCCCAGGCAGCAGACCGACAAGTTTTAAACCATCACACTTGGCGATAGCGAGTACGCCACTACTAAAGAGCTTCCATCCGGTTTTCACATCATCGGTCATCATCTGGTTCTGTTTAAACATCGTGTGCAATGTTATTTGCGAGTTTTGCCATCACATCCGCCAAAGGTAATGTTTCCCATTTGATTTTGTGATTGCTTCTGCCACCAGGTCTTCGTATGGTACTCCATTTCTTACAGCGCAGCATGCCAGCAACAAGGTGGTGTTCGGTTGATAGCTCTGCCACTCTTTTAACGCGAACATTAACACGAACAAAGCATCGTAAATCAGAAGATACGATTATCATATCAGTCGTCGAGTTCTGTACACAAACTTTCGTGTATTAGTTTTACTGATGCACTCTTCGATGCTCGAAGAAGGTTTTCAGTATAGACAGTCCGTTGTTTGCACATAACCGCAATAACTTCATGCCCTTATTTTCGAGGTCGCTGGGACCGTTTTTTCCAATCACGCCTTTTGTATTTTCAGTGTCTTCTCCGATATGCTCATTAAAATCGCCCATTATAATGAAGGACTCAGTAGTTGACACTTCGTACAGAGCACACTCCACTTCCATAAGGAAGGACTCATATTTTCCCTCCACGTTAGGCGCATTGACCGGTAAGATCAGCGTTTTAGCCTTTTAGAGTTTCAGTATGAGGATTACCACTCTTCGGTTGACAGACATCCATTCAATGATTCTGTCAGCCAGGTAGTGTTCTAGAGCAGCAACACGTGCATGAATGCGCGTCGTGACATCGACACCTAAGTAGAATAATTTACACCCGCAGTGGTTCAGGATTCCAGAGCCTTGGCGCTTTGATGATGAAAGTCCAACTATGGTACCTTACGGCCTCATCAACTAACTCCTGCTTTTTCCCTCTGAGTGAGGATATATTCTAGTTTCTGACTGTAGGCTCCCACTGTCGGTGTCCTTCTCGTGGAGTCTTATCTGACGTGCTATAATGGCATTGCGCTGTCTGTCTCCTCCGTTCAGGACGGGTAGCGATT